AATAATAGGTACTAATTATAACTTAGAACATAAATGAAAAACTCATGACGAGCAAAGTGGCTCAGGACCATGCTATGCGGCAGTCTGTGGACGGGGATGTTCAGTAGTGGACTTGTGAACAGCTGTAATGATGATGATGTTTCGAAATCTTGCACGATTAAATTATAAGAAATCGACGTTCTTTTATAGGATAGGGTGACAAACGAGCACACAGTTCACCTGATGGTAAGTGCTTACTGTGGCCCACAGACATCTACAACTATCCTCGATTACGAATCAAAATGCAGATGCGTTGTCACCCGTGAGGACTAAGATGAAATGCTTCGTTTCCTTTAAAAAGGGTCTCTGGTTCTCTACACTCACTATACGAAACACAGCATCAGTAAGCTACTATTTTACGCTGATATTCTGTGAGAGCGTGGTCCTTCCCCGGTCGAGTCGACCTTCGTGCTGCAACCTATACTTCTAATATAAATTGCATGGTTCTACCACGTATAAACGACGTGCTTCATTTTTTTTCATTTTAAAATTGTTATCGTAATAATCTGATTGTAAAAAAAGTTAATCTTTTTTTGATAAATAGCTTATTGATTAAAAAAAAGTTTAATAATAATTAAATCGCGCTAATTAAAGTAATAGGAATGTTTAAAGTTGAAATTGGCACTAAAAGGCTTTTCTAAAATTTAAATCAGATGCGTGTAATCACTCTGGGAGCTTGCAGCAAACTAAACGCGCGGCCAACGTGTGGACGCGGCGACCAAACTCTGCCAACAATCCTTTGATCTTTTGTAAAAAACCGAAACCATACGGATCTCGCGCCAACTTACGGGCCATCGTTCCAATACATACCAATGAAGCCCAAACACCCCGTCTACACGTTGGCCAATGCTATTGACCACTACATTCGCCACTGTGTTGGCCAACGTGTAGAGGCGCCGTAAGGATATCTACTACCCGATATCGTCATGTGAGTGTCGTAAGAGGCGACAGAGGGAAACAACCGAGGTGGACAGTAGAGATGGGCCGAATATTCGTTTCATATTTATATAGAATATTCGTGGCATATTCGGCAGACTGAATATGCCGAATATATAAATATTACCGAATACTCGTATTCAGCCGAATAACGATTGCTAGCCGCTGGGTTTGTTGCCTGTTCTTACCAAGACAGACGTTTTTTTCCGAACCAGTGCTAAATAAAAAAGTAACTTTCAATAAGTATTATTTATATATAATTTATATTGAATAAAAAAGTTTCCGTTTCCGTTTCAGTCCGGTTTTTTTTTAATTGATTTGCAAGAAAGTATGATAAGCAGCATACAATCCACTTGAAGTAAGTGAATGCCTGCCTGTAGACATCTGCATCTATCCTCAATTAAGAATCAAAATACGAATGCGTTGGCTACACTGAGGACCAGGACGGAATGCCAAATTACAAGTAAAATGTGTTTAACAATTCTTAAAATTCATTTAAATAATTTTCGAAGTCTTAATATTAAAAAAAAACCAGCAGCCCAGCAACTAACTTTAATTGTCGGAGCAATTAAACTCGACAAGACCTACTCTCTAGAGGCATAAGTAATTCACTAGCGCGAACTCCTGTTCTCTTGGATCTGTGCAAGCTTTTGGCGTTTTCAACTACTTCAACTTTTAACACTATAGCTACCAGTACATATGTATATACCTATATACTAGATGAACTTTTTACCGTCTGGAAAAAATTAGGTTGTAACATGTGAACGGAGTAGAAGCTATGGTACTAATATTTTACAAAAAAATAAAAACAAGCATTTTGAATTAAATTAATAAATTAATAAAAATCTATCGAAATTCAAATCATATCTACCCTAGCCTAGCTTTGACAAGGTCAAAGATACCTACTAAATTTATTGTTTTATTGCCGTTTGTAAAGTATGGTCGATAATATGATTGAAATATGTAATGACATTTGAACATAGCAGAATCTTAGTTTGAAAGCCACTTCTAACGTTCAATGAAATTTGCTGTAATACATATTATGTAATGAATTCCCCTAGAATGACAAACACACACAAAACTTTTAAAAAATTTATAAAGTAAGATTCCTTTAAAGGAGGTGGAGCATTAACTATGTATTTGGAAAAGATTTCTTGTTTTAAATGAAGTTATTGTCATTGCCTGTTTCACCAGTATTTTATTGTATTTTTTAATTATTTACTTATTTGCAATATTTAATAATATATGTTAGTAAAATTTGCATATAGATGAAGTGTGAAATTAAAATTAAAACAGTAAAAATGTAGTCATTATGAAGTTTGTGGGAGGTTACTCTGAATGATAGGGTGAGAAAATTTTGATAAGAGAAAATTCTGGTATGTAAAAAGATGTTGTTTGTTTGACCAAATTTTGTATTCGTAGAAAGAACTAATGACGATAGACTTAAGATATGGGTGCCAGACCAGGCAAGTGACACTTAGACGGAAGTTTATCTGCCACACTGATAATACAGCAGAAGCTATGTAAGTCGAACCTCGATAAGTAGATAATCTCGTCAACTTGAAAAAAATGTTTTGTTCCCTTACTTTCAAGCTTCAAAACTTCTATTACTCGAAATCTCAACCCTATTTATGTCGAAATAATCACTGATTCCCTTCATCCATCACTCGAAAAAACAAATTGGACCTCTATATCTCGAACATAACAATGTTTGTATTTACAACATTTAGAACTCGATAATTTGAAACTACCTTTATAGTAGCAATTCTTGATATATATATATATATATATATAAAAAAAAAAAAAAAAAATATAAATTTAAATTAAACTAATTGCACTCATGATTTTTTATTCAAATAACCAGTTCAGTTTTTTCTATTATGTAGCTAAGATCAAAAAATATTATTCGTATTTCATCAGTATGTAATTTGTATCTAAATATAATTTCCAAAACACACGAATTAAAAATATATATATATATATATATATACATAGAATCTCGGAAACGGCTCCAACGATTTTCATAAAATTTAGTATCCAGGGGGGTTTATTTTTAGAAAATGTCGTTATGTCCATGTTTTCGGACAATAAAAAACTGCAACAATATCGTCAAAATAAGAAGGTAAATTTTGACAGTATATTAACGATTATAAATAGCTCAATTGGGATATCGGGCAGTCACAAGATCGTAGTACCCTAGTTCGAGTCCTGTCTTCAGACCGACTTTTTTAATTTTTTTTCAAGTTCCCTTTCTTTTTTTTGAGAAAATCTATTATTTCGAGCCCTTTTTTAATATTTTTTTAAAAACACATGACAAACATAACTTTTTATTCAAATAAGCAGTTCAGTTTTTCTATTATGTCGCTAAGATAAAAAAATATTATTCGTATTTCACCAGTATGTAAATTGTATCTAAATATAATTTCAAAAACACACGAATTAAAAAAAATACCGAGCAAAGATCGGTCAACCAGGTACTGTATATATAAGTATATTACAATATTTATAACAATAAAAAGCTAAAGACTCATGTGGTCCTACTTATTGAAGTATAGAGCAAATAACACGGCTGCCTTGCCGAATGGCTTTCACTAGAAGCGAAGGTCAGTCGATACCTTTCCTGGTACCGTTCCTTTAGAAACTTACTGAGAGTGGACCTCGTACAACGATAGATTTTACATTCAAATAACATAAACTGGCTAGCCATACGTCTCCCAATTTGCAGACTTTTTTAGAAAGGTTTTACCGAAAAAAAATATTTCACTTTACTTTACTTTACTTTGTCGGTGACCTGAGTTTTCCCAGGGGATTATGAATCTTATTCGCCAGAGAAGCCCGAGAGTACTTACTAATAAACATAATTAAATTATAAAACTAAATGATATAATTCTATTAATAAAGTTATTCCTACAATATAAATATTTATGTATGTATTTATGTATGCCTGGAAGTTTATTTTTCAATTGACTCGTTGGTTGGTCCTAAAAATGCAGTTATTTAGTTTTTGTGTCAAAAAACTCAGAAGCAGCTTGGAGTCAGGAATTTGGCGATGTTTCACTTCCGTGGCGCGGAAAGTAACGGCTTTACCGTTGGTCCTGGTCACCGGTCATGTCAGTTTGTCGTTCCAGCGAACTATGAGAGTGAGGAAATAACTAAAAAAACTGTGCTTGCGCATACACTCTCTAACTTTAATCTAGTCCTGCGCAGATGGCTAATCCTCGTTGAGACTTGCAGCCGTGGCCGAAATTCGGTCTGGAGATTATTATTATCTTTCAATCTTTCTTGAACGGCTGGACGGATTCTTATGATATTTGGTATAACGATTATGTCGTGGAACAAAAGATAGGATACTTTTTACAACAATTATAACTAAAGTTGACCGTGTATTGGCGTTGTAAGAATCCACTATCCCATATCGCCCCGTGGGCTTCGTATTAGACGTCAGAGGTAAATTGAAATTGATGACAGGCAACAACATCTTCCTGATAACAACTCAAAATAATAAAAACTGCGTTTTCTTATAGAATACGGATGATAAACGAGCACACCGTCCACCTGATTGTAAGTGGATGCTGTGGCCAATAGATATTTACATTTATCGTTAGTTAAGAATCAAAATGCAAATGCGTTGTCACTCCTGAGGACTGAGATGCAATGCCTCGTTTCCAGTTAAAAAGCTCTCCAGTTCTCTACACTCACCATAAGAAACTAAAAAAAATTACGCTGGTATTCTGTGAGAGCCAAGTCCTACCCCAGTCGAGCCGACTCATTCGTGCTGCAACTAGAGTGGCTGCAGCATGGCTCTGCCACGTATAAAACGGCGGTTAACAACCAGCTCACCAAGCGTGTGAAGAAGAACTATGGCTAAATCCCAATAATTGACTGGCTTAGCAAGACCCATGCTCAGTAGTGGACTTTTATAGGCCGTTATAGATGGATGAATGGATAACTAAAGTTAAATGTACTCATAGCGAAACGTACATGTATCAGCTAGAGTAAAATAAAATTAATGAATATGAACTCACCCCCTTGCGATGTTAAGACAGTAATTTTGGCAGGGTCTGACTTCGTGACCTCGACAGTGAGGACATCCACCTGCCCGTAGCAATATATTCTGGCATTCCTCGTTGGAACTCATCAGCACTTGCTCACTGGCGGTTAACGCATTTGCTCCCACAGCTAACACCTGCAGGAGAACTCTAGCTGCTTCAAGAGATCGCGAGAGCGACGATCCCAGCTGTAAACATAACTTTATTTTAATATTTTCTTCCCTTTTCTTAGCTAAAAACATTTGAAATAGGAATAAAAATATGTTTTTGTATTCAACATAGATTATAAATAATATTTTGACAGTCATTTTTATATATAATTTACACTGCAATTACATAAACTATAAATCTGCATGCCTGAGAAATTAGCACAAATATTTCGAGGGCTTTTACTGGGTGATCTTGATTCTGATTATTTTCTACTCAGCAGTCATTATAGGTGAGCCGTGGTAGCTCAGATGGTTAATGCTCGCTTTAAATATAACAGAACGTGAGTAACCCGGGTTTGACACCCACCGGCAATGAAATTGTTAATTGCAATTTTACGTGCTGATTTACCACGTGCTCGGCGGTGAAGGAAAACATCGTGAGGAAATCTGCATGTCTGAGGAATAAGAGAAAAAAAATTATTACGAAAACATCTGAAGTTCGCCAACACGCATTGGGGCAGCGCAGCGGACACTTCCTTGCCCTAAAACCCTCTCAGAAATGAGGTGAGGCCCGTGCCCAGCCGTGCGACGTATATAGGCTATAACTTTAGTGATTATGGGTACTACCATCCTCTTACATATGCCTGCAATTCTGTGCTACAGATCGGAAAGGTATGTAGAGCCTTTATAATTAAAGGCTTTAGTACATTCTATCTTTAGTCCTCAGTTGCCATAATATCTATAGTCTTCTTTATTTAAAGTTGGTTAGAGGTGACTGTAACTGTAAGATTGTCAGTTCAGTTAAATTAAATTATAATAAAAATGCAATTGGGTAGCAAGGAGTATTCTTCACTGTTCGTAATACCTATCAGAAACGAGACGAGGCCAGCGCACTGCACTTGCCATTTTTGATGGTTATTATTTTTACTTTTAGCATTCCCGCAAGGATATACACTTATTTGTCTTTGACATAATAGCTTAAATGATTAAAACTACTTTTACGGATTTTATCGCGATCTAAAGACCAAGCGCGCAAGATACATAACAGCTTTAAATTTCTTGAAGAGATGCAGAGATCATAATCTCATTCCTACGTGTGTCAGGATATCCACTAAAAAAGACATTCGAGGAAGCGCTAAGATCTTAAATCAGGCTAGTAAAAAGTTGTTAATAACGGTGATTCAGCAAAAACGTACCGATCTATATTTCATAAACAAAACCATAGACAATTCGTCCAGTGAATTAAAGACAGTTTTATCGACATTTGATTATAAAAATTGCATGGAAACTTTAGATAAACGCGAAACAACTAAATACAATGAATGCAAAAATAAACACATTGATAAATACCATAAATTAACAACTAAATCAAATGTCCAACATACGAAATCCTTGACCACAGACACGAATCATAAACAACGCGCTGTCTACAACTTATCAAAACAAACACTGGACGACGCCACAATAAAAGTTTTAGAAAAAGGTATTAATTTCGCAATAACACCGCGAAAAATACCGTATGAGGACATTATCTGTAGTGTTGAGGACTGTCTGTATAAAAATAATATTGGTAATGAAGATTTAGAGGCCCATACGTCAAGACATCTCGTCTATGTTACGTCGAAGTTCAGCGCCGAAATTAAATCTTCCCAAAAATGAATTTAACGCGTTGAAAAACTTACGCAACAGAACAGAACTTACGATTCTCCGCGCAGATAAAGGTAATTCTACGGTTATAATGGATACGTCAGATTACAATTTTAAAATACAACAACTTTTGTCGGATGAAACTACTTATCGAAAGGTCAAAACAGACCCTACAACTAATACGCTTAAAACAACTAGCGATCTAATTAAGAAATACTCCGAAAAATTGAATCTGGACGTTAATTCGATAATACCTTCATGTGCCAAACCACCGAAGTTGTATGGGTTACCAAAGATACACAAACCGAATGCTCCATTACGTCCAATAGTAAGTCAGATTGATTCGCCAACTTACAGATTGGCTCAATACTTAGCTAAAATATTATCACCACTCAGAGGACACACAAGAGCACACACTAAGGATTCATACCATTTTGTCAGTGAGATAAAAGACCTACATCTTACTGACAATGAAACCATGGTCAGTTTTGATGTTCAGTCTCTATTTACATGCCTACCTGTTGAAGACTGCATCTCAATTATAACTAGGAAACTAGAGGAAAATAACATGCTAGCAGAATATGCAGTATTACTAAGACATTGCCTTACATCTGGCTATCTATTGTGGAAGGAAGAGTTTTACAAGCAAGTAGATGGTGTTGCGATGGGCTCACCTGTATCTCCCATTGTCGCCGATATATTCATGGAAGACTTTGAGGAGAAAGCCCTCCTTACTGCACCTGTTACACCAAGGATCTACAAGCGGTACGTAGACGATACTTTCACAATTTTACCATCAGACAAAGTAACTGCATTTTTAGAATATCTTAATTCCATAAACTCTAAAATTCAATTTACTATGGAGTTAGAGGCAAATAATTCCTTACCTTTCCTAGATGTGTTAGTCATCCGAAATCCTAATAACACCATTATTAACACCTAATAATACCATATACAAACCGATATTTAAACGGTGAATCTCACCACCATCCTTCACAGTTAGCTACTGTGGGCAAATCTTTGTTACAGAGAGCACGAGGGATCTGTGACAGCAAACACCTGGCCGCCGAGCTTCAGCACGTCAAGCAAGTTCTGCACGACAACAAGCTTCGGGTCCCGCGCCTACGTCACAGTGACCGAGTGAAGCCGGCCACAGTCGAGTGTGTGCCTGCTACCATATGTCAGAGGTGTCACAGACAAGATTGGCTAAATCTTGAAGCGAGCTTATATTAGAACATTCTACAAGCCGCCGAAGAAGATTAGTCAGTTCCTACCATCCGTCAAGTGTCATATTCCTCTACAAGATGCAGGAGTGTACAAGCTTGATTGTGAATGTGGTCTCTCTTATATAGGACAAACAAAAAGATCAATTAGGACCCGCGTAAAAGAACATATAGCTGATGTGAAGCATCAACGTTCCGGGAAGTCTGCAGTTTGTGATCATATCCTAGACGGACCCAACCATTACATCAGATTTGATAGACCACAAATCCTCGCGAAAGAACACCGATTCCTACTAAGGATGATACGTGAGGCTATTGAAATTAAAAAACATCCTAATTTCAATAGAGAAGGAGGCTGGGTACTACCACCTGCTTGGGATCCTATAATCAATAAAATTAAAATTAAACCCAAGCATACCACTGCAAGACCTCAGGACATAGTCAGTTCATTTTGCATAGATCGGACCATAAACAATAATTAAAAAAGCTGAAGGTACTCCGGGTTTAACAATGACATCGGGGCGTCAGTCATCTCAGTCCCCCCGTGACCATGGGTGCTGAAAAGCGCACGAAACGTCGGGAATTAAAAATAAAAGTAAATAAAAAGTAAAAATAAACGCGATAAAATCCGTAAAAGTAGTTTTAATCATGTATAGTGTTCGCGTAAATATAAGAAATCATTATCATAGCTTAAAGTTAAATCTACAGCCTATATACGTCGTGGCACAAGCCTCCGCTCATTTCTGAGAGGGTTTTAGGGCAAGGAATTTCTCAGACATGCAGGTTCCCTTCACCGCCAAGCATGTGGTAGTTCAACACTTAAGGGCCTATACTACCTCAGCTCTAATTCTAATTTTACCCGCACTGCCCCGCGCGTCGTATACTATGTACCGACATGTTTGTAATCACTAACACTGTAAGTAGATAGGTCGTTAGATACTTATTTCATTAGGTTTATCATATTAATGACTGTTTTTTCACGCTAAACAAGTCGCTTCTTATTTTTATTACATTTATTTCTCATTTTAATTTTACGTCGTCTTGTTACGTAATGTGTATTCTGATCGTAAGTGACACAGCTTGCCCGTTTGAAAGCAAAAGCGATACTGATCGGGAAACAGGGAACAAAGTTCAGGAGTCAGGACACCGATAGTTTAGGTAATATCTTTTTACAGTGAAAATAATGGTAATAAAAAAACATAAGCCCTGCTTTATAGTTAGTTCAGTTAGTAAGCAAAGTTTCATGATCTAATTTAAAGTATTTTATAAATACCAGCGGTTTATGGTTCAGTTTGGAGCGAACTTTGGATATTTTTTTTTTATAGAAGAGGGGGGCAAACGAGCATGTGGCTCACCTGATGTTAAGTGACTACCGCCGCCCATGATCAACTGCAACACCAGGGGAATTGCAGACGCGTTGCCGGCCCTTTTAGAAAGGAGTAAGCTCCTTTCTTGAAGGTCCCCAGGTCGTATCGGTCCGGAAAAATCGCTGGTGGTAAATTATTCCACAGAGAGGTTGTACGCGGAAGAAAACTCCTTTTGAAACGTACAGTGGTGGACCGCCAAGCATCCAGATGGTGTGGATGGTATCAGGACGTTTGCCGCGTAGTGCGTTCACGAAATTTGGCGGCTGGGATTAATCCGAACAATTCCTCAGAGCACTCTCCATGGTATATGCGAAAGAAAATGCAAAGGGATGCAACATCTCTTCGCAGTGCCAGAGAATCGAGCCGATCGGAAAGCACTCGGTCTTCGACGATTCGAGCCGCTCTGCGCTGGATGTGGTCAAGTGGAAGGAGCTGGTATTGGGGAGCCCCAGCCCAGAGATGGGAACAGTATTCCATGTGCGGCCGAACCTGCGCCTTGTAAAGTTGCACGCGGTGTGCCGGCATGAAATACTGTCCCGCTCTGCTGAGCACGCCAAGCTTTTTTAGAGGCCAATTTGGCCTTCCCTTCCAAGTGACCACGAAACTGCACGTCACTCGATATGTCGACGCCGAGGATTCCGATACTGGCTGAGGCAACAAGGGGAGTGCCTTGAAACTGAGGGGATACGACAAAGGGGTTCTTTTTAGCGGTTAACGCGCAAACTTGTGTCTTCTGGGGGTTAAACTGGACTAGATTTAGTCGCCCCCAATCCGAGACTCTGTCCAGCAGAGACTCGACTTCAGACACAAGTTTGTCCCGGCACTCGGAGACGTTTTCCCGAGAAATATTGGCTCGGCCGGTGTAAAGAGCATCACCAGTGCTGTCATCTGCATAGCAATGAATGTTACGGGTCTGCAACATATCATTGATATGCAGAAGAAACAGCGTTGGCGATAGCACGCAGCCCTGTGGAACACCAGCATTAATAGGCTTGCAATCGGAGCTTGCACCGTCTACAACGACCTTGATGCTCCGATCTGCAAGAAAACTGGTGATCCAATCGCACAATTTCTCGGGAAGCCCATAGGAAGGGAGCTTCGAAAGAAGCGCTTTGTGCCAAACCCGATCGAAGGCCTTCGCAATGTCCAAACTAACGGCCAATGCCTCCCCCCTTGGACTCTACTGCCTCCGCCCATCTGTGAGTTAGGTAGACCAGAAGATCACCAGCTGACCTACCACGGCGAAAACCGTATTGGCGGTCACTAATCAGCTGGTGATCCTCAAGGTACCTCATGAGCTGGCAGTTTACAATGGACTCCATTGTTTTGGAGAACAAGGAGGTGATGGCGATAGGCCGGTAGTTGGACGGGTCTGAGCGGTCGCCTTTTTTAGGGATCGGGTGGACGAAAGCCGTCTTCCATGATTTTGGGACTACGCCTAGGGAGTAGGAGTACCGGAAAAAACGCGTTAAAACCGGTGCCAACTCTGGAGCACACGTCCTCAGCACAATTGGGGGGATTCCGTCAGGCCCACTCGACTTGTGGATGTCCAGGGAGAGGAGTGCTTTGCGAACCGAGCGCTGAGTGAACTGCACTTCCGGCATGGAGCACTCACACCGCGGGATGGTCGGCGGCGTACTCCCCCCGTCATCGAGAGTCGAGTTAGACGCAAAGAAAGAGCCTAGAAGATCGGCTTTCTCCTTTGCGGTGTGGGCCAGTGAGTCGTCCTCCCTGTGCAGAGATGGAAGAGATGGCTGACAGAAATTCCCCTGGACAGCCTTGGCGAGAGACCAGAATGTACGGGTTCCAGAAGGAAGACGAACTAGTTTCTCGCCAATTCTGCCTATGTGCTCTGACTTTGCCTTGGCAATGACTCTTTTGAAGGACCTAGAGGCGGAATTATACTTCTTTTTTAGAGCGCTGGTGTTTACATCCCTGGACGCTGATGCGTCAGCCCAGGCCTGGTAGCACTCCTGCTTATAGCATGATGCTATTTTACAGGAGCGACCAAACCATGGCTGAGATTTGCCTCCAATGGGCACCACAGAGGAAGGAATAAAAAGTTCCATACCCTGAAGTACCACATCAGCGACAGAATCCGCAACAACGTTGGGATCGTCCGGCGAGAAGCAAACCCGCCCCCAAGGGTAGGATGCAAAGAAAGACCGCATCCCATCCCAATCGGCTGACCTATAGTGCCAAACACGGCGGCAGCCTGCAGAATGCAACCGCAATTTCAGCGTGAGTGGCACCACACTCCGGACAAGACAATGGTCCGAGGAGCCTAAAGGGGCGTCGACGGAAATCTGATATCCGTCCGGGTGAGAGGTCAGCAGAAGGTCCAACAGGGAAGGTGCATGATCCTCCACATCTGGAATCCGCGTAGGCGAAGTAACCAGTTGTGTCAGACCATATGACAAGGCAAAATCATGAACAGATCTCCCCGCATGATCGGTTAAACGTGAACCGAGCCATTCGGCGTGATGGGCGTTAAAGTCGCCGAGGATCACGATCTCTGCGGAGGGGATCTGCTGTAGCAACGAATCTGCAGCCATTTGGACGTGGTCGAAGAGTCGGTCTGTTTCGGCATTACCGCTGTGGGACCTATAGAGGCACCCGTAGATGCGCGGATGGTCGTCGCTGTCTACGCGTAGCCAAAGGATGGACAGGTCCGAACCTTCAAGTCTGCCGAGGCGTCGAGAACAGATGTCCTCTCTGACGTAAACGCAAACTCCAGCCCGAGGCACAAAGGAGTGTTCCAGTTTGTACCCCGGGTAGGAGAGATACGAGACATCAGCCGGAGAGGACACCTGCGTCTCGGTCAGAAAGAGCAGAGCCGGCCTCGCCGTCTCGAGATGGTAGTGGACGGCGTTTAGGTTGGAGTGAAGTCCCCTGATATTGCAGAAATTCACGGACAGCGTGGCAGGGGTCGCCTTGGTCTTGTTGCTCCGTTTGCCCCGAGCAGTTTTAGTCTTGAGCGGAATTTTGCCCCCCCCCCAGAATACGCGGGGCAGCCTGAGCACCCACGCTCAGAAGTGGAAAAACATGGTCGTGGATGCTCAGCGAGGGATTCTCCAGGGGTGCTGGTACCCTCCTGGGGTAGTCTATCATTGAATTCCATGGGGGGGGGGGGATTTGGGCCTCCGGCCACCTGCACTCACCAGACGAAACGCGGAAGCAGAGCTTCCACTTCACGCCGGTATTCTGTGAGGTCGTGGTACCACCCCGGTTTGAGCCGGCCCATACGTGCGACAGCAAAGCTGCCGCGTGGCTCTACCACTGTTAATTTTTTTCTATCGAGAAAATTTTACGGAATCGTGTTTTCGTCTAACATAGTACTTAACATTAATACTCAACTTTACCATATATTTATTTCAAAATTAATGCTGCAATATTTTCGGCATAACGAAGGATCTTGCTAATTCATTTGAGGTAGCATAAGCCCTCAACGAGGTAAATTATTGGTGCCGACGTGGATCGAACCCGGTTCGCTCGCGTACTGTGAAATTTACTGCGTGCTCTAACCATCTGAGCTACCATCTTGTCTTTGCCATACGTTATTCCTATTAGATAGTGGATACAAAAACAATAATTTATATTTTATATTGTTTTATATAATTTATTAGCTAAGAGTTTGTGTTATCCCAACTTAAAAGTTTGGCTTTTAAAATTCATTGGGGTTAAAAGTGTATTCACTGTTTTATATTTTAAAAACACACACAAACAATTTTCTTAATATTAAGTAGTTTTATTTCTCTTATACTGAATAATTTTCATCTGAGTTAATTATTACTAACTTTGTTATTTTAAAACTCACTCAAGCTAACACTGAGCTTCACAGTTTTAATAATAAAAATAGTTCAATAATCTAGGGAGAGAAAACAATTAAAAGCAGTCGCCAATATGTTAATAAATTTTCAGTAACTGGTTGGTTACAAAATAACACACGTGTAGACGTTTTAAAGAATTCAGATTATTGCTATACTGCATAGAAAATAGACTAAACATTTGTCGTACGTCCGCAATCCAATGACATATCGATAGATATGAAAAATCCTTTTAAGATTCTTGACTTTTCAAAAAATTCACAATAGTTTAAAAAAGATTTACAAATCGATCCGTATGCCACAAATATATCACATTAATTACACTAAACAAAGATTTAGTAGTGAGTGCGTTCAAAAATGTTTTTAACTTCCCGCTATGCATATGCAATTCAACGATTTTAAAAAAATCGGGAAGTTATTGTTTTCACCCCGGTTTTTGAAAATTGAAAATCGAGTTCTCATCAGATCTCGACGTTTCGAGGTCCTAGGAATGTCCTATTCTGGCTATTTTTGCTATGATGTCCGTATGTTTGTGTGTGTGTGTGTGTGTGTGTGTGTGTGTTTGTTTGTATGTAAACATTTCATAACTTTGTAACGTAGTGTCCAATCGAAAAGCTGTTTGCAGCATTTGAAAGGGCCTCGCTGAAGTTGGATTTTCTGTGAATTTAGACCAAATCGTCACGGAAACTTCAAAAATTCGAGTATTTAAATTTTTCAAAAAAAGGTTTTGTTAGAATTACTTTGACACCCTTATTTTGTAATCTAATCAGCTCTTCTACTGAAAAAACGACGTCGATTGTGGTGAACCGCATCAAAATCGGTTGATTCGTTCGAGAAATATCGTTGTCGAAAGAAATCTGTAAAAAGTATTTTTTCAAAATAACTTGATAAATTTCCGTGATATAAAAGAAAAAAGAAGAAACAAAAAAAAAAAAAAAAAATAAAAAAAAAAAAACCAAAAACGAAAGAGAACAATAGGAAAAAACAAAACCCGAAAAAGAAGGAAACCATAAAAAAAGGGAAGGCCCAAAAAAGGCACACACACAACAAAAAAACACCAATGAGTATTATGCCGCCCCCCCCCACCCCCCCCCCCCGCCACCCCATTTAGAGACGAGTTTATTAAAATATAAAAAAAATATCACTGTCAATACATCATACCTGTTGTGGTACTTCACCGAACGGCTTTACAGCGTCATACGCGTCTTGCAAACACGCTTCGTATTCAGGTGTAAATTGCTTCGCATCTAACTTCAACACATTCTGGTACGCCACGGGGAACACGTCGCGGAAGAACTTCCTCGTGCTTGCCGCCAAATCCTTTGGTGGCGAAGAGATTATGTCTACACTAGTGACGTCATGTTCAGAGTCCGATCGAAGCAATATTCGTATGTCGTCATAGAGCGCCGACAGAGGAGCTTTTGCGCGCGATGCGTGGACTCGGTAGAGTTGCAAAAACAGCACAGAGGTTTTGTTTTGCGATTGATGAGAGAGCGCCGTTAGGTGATCTGCAAGAAACAAAAAAAAATATATCTTCTCTTCTAACATAAAAGTTTTTTGTGGCCCCAATCGAACATCTAATCTCGTTTCGTAAATGTTGCGTTAATGCTATGGAAATAAAGAAAGCAACTATAATACTATTTTATGAAAATTGTTCAATGAACACCAAATGATTTCTTATATTTATGTTATGATTTCTTATACGTATGTATTTCTTATATTTACGATAAATACTTAATTATTTCTTATAATTATTTGCTCAACTGAATATAATTTACAGATTTAATTGCGTTCATTTAAATACTTGTTTATAAAAAAATAACTTACTTGCAAAGATGGCAAATATCTACCATTCATGTCTATCTCTCTAATATATGATAACCTATGTTCATGACCATGTAAATTACGATCTGTACAGTCTGTAATGAACGAATGAACAAATTTTAATACTAATAAGTATAAATAAAATAAAATAATATATTTAAATAAAACAAGTTTTTACAGATTTTATCACGTGTATTAAGTTTTTGTATTCCCAACATTACTAGAAATAAGTAATTAATATTAATAATTTTAATCTGTGGGTAACCGCGGTTAACTATGACATCGGGACGTCTAACACCTCTGTCCCGTAGCCATGGGTCCTGTAAAGTGCCAGAAACGTCGGAAATATAAAAAGTTAATCCCGTAAAAACTTGTTTTATTGAAATATGTAGTGTTCGCGTAAATACAAGAAATCATTATATAAAATAATAAAGTTTAATAAAAACATAATAAAAATAGAAACCTAGAACATGCTCTATGTTTTTGTCTTGTCTTTCCGTAGCTCAATATTGAGCTTTTCTATATTTAGCGTAAGTATTACGATTCTGAGGTTAAGTGGAAGAGATGTGTCGCATTATCTTGAAAGTAGGTTTCGTTGGTTGCCCTCTTAGTCGAACTTGGATTAAGACTAAAACCGACAACGCACCTGCAATGACACTGATGTTGCAGGTGTTCATGGGTGGCGATAATTATTTACCATCAGGTGAATCATATATTGGTTTGCCTCCCAATCTATGAAGAAATCTCACCTGAAAATGTTTTCCCAGTGACATCCGCCATACATTATCAGAGTCCACTCTTGAATATAGCCCTCTCCATAGATTGAATCGAGGGGGAGGCCTTTTGCCATAGTTGCCGCACTTGGCAGGTAAGGTGGTAACCTCAGTTTTTACTTTTTTCTAGTAATTAGAAAGACACTGCTGTCAATCCCTCGGTTAGTTTTCATCTGTCGCCTCTTACGACCTCAACGGGACGATACGGGGTAATACACGCTACACGGTGGTCTCAATGTCTTATTTATGATTATGGCGAGCGATCTTTTTCAAAGTTAAAAATCATTAAAAATTATTTAAGATCGACAATGCTTCAAGAAAGATTGTCTGGGCTAGCGATATTAGCAATTGAACAAGAAATTTTTGATGATATAAATTTTAGCGATGTAATTAATGAATTCGCAGTAGCAAAGTCTCGAAAATATCGCTGCTAGAATAGCTATTTTGTATTGTTCTATTGTACCTAGCAATCATTTTATTTTATAACAAAGTTACCTAGGTATTTTTTATCAGAAGTATCTGCATAGCATATCGATAATTTTTAAAATATCTAAGTATTAGCAGAAAGTAGTACATAAATATATGTAGAAATTAGGCAATATTTCTGTTATTTGTTCCTAAAAAGATGTGATTTTTAGTTTTGGGTTATTTTCTAGTATTTATAAATAACGTGTCTGCACCCCATTAGTTAAGTAAATGCTTTAAAATGTATATAATATTTAAATGTAATAATATTTAATTATCTTACTATTATGTTCCCATTATCTTGAAACAAAAACTAGAAAGTTTAAACGTTAGTTGCTGTGTGAAACAAAAAACTTTTCGTTATTTTTCAAACACAATTTATTTAATGAAAATACAAGCCTCAATCGATTAATAGAAAGTATTCGTCTAATTCAAGGGCAATAATTGACACATTAGAATTCAAATTTAGTGCATTGTAAAGTTAGAACTGTACAAGTACAAGTGAAACATTCAGTTAATGGTAATAAAACACATTCGAAACACCAATAAAATTTAATACGTAGTGACATTTGAAATATGTAACATTCCTACTTAAAATGTCGCAAAAAACTTTTCGTATTATATATTTTTCAAACACAATTTATTTAATGAAAATACAAGCCTCAATCGATTAATAGAAAGTATTCGTCTAATTCAAAGGCAATAATTGTCACATTAGAATTCAAATTTAGTGCATTGTAAAGTTAGAACTGTACAAGTACAAGTGAAACATTCAGTTAATGGAAATAAAACACATTCGAAACACCAATAAAATTTAATACGTAGTGACATTTGAAATATGTAACATTCCTACTTAAAACGTCAACACAGCGAAATGTACATTTGTAAGCCTCTAACGTTTAACGAAATTTATCGTAATACAGGTGTAATGAATTCCTCTTGAATTTGCTTCTAAATCAATAACAAACGATACGTTTGCTGGACAAATTAAATTGCAATATTAACGGAGATAAAGCCGTGGTTTTTTCAGGAATGTTGGTAGCACATTGGCTAGGCGCACGCTGTAAAAATATTTACAGTACGCGAGCAACCCGGGTTCGATCCCCGCCGGCACCAATGAAATTGTTAATACAATTTTAAGTGCTTATTTACCACGTGCTCGGCGGTGAAGGAAAACATCGTAAGCAAACTGCGAAATAAGAAAAAAAATCAAACACATGTGAAGTTCGCCAACACGCATTAGAGCAGCGCGGCAGAAATTTCCTTGCCCTAAAACGCTCTCGGAAGTGAGGGAAGGCCTGTGCCCAGCAGTGGGACGTGTATAGGCTGTAACTAATAACGGCGATTGAGTAAATAGTTGTTCTTAAAAAAACTCTTGTTGTAATAACATTACATTATTATTACGCATTTAGTATGACAATAATTAATAATGACAAACATAACTAAGTGAATGAAACTTCCACAACTAGTTCTTGGCTTTTAAACATATCTTTCCTACTGGCTAGGATTTGAAGAATCCCTAGGGCGTGCTGGGTAGTCTTTATTTTTATTTAAAAAAGTCAAATACTGGCTACGAGAAAGTTATAGACTATAAACTTATAAGATAAGCGTTCTGTAGCGACTTAGATCAGTCTCGACTTAGATCGACTCAAATACGTTCATACGTGGTAGAGCCACGCTGGACCTATATTAAGGTTGTAGCAGGAATGGATCGGCTCGACCGGGGAAGGACCACGCTCTACCAGAAAACCAGCCTTAAATAGCAGCGTAATACTGCTGTTTTCATACGGTGGAGTATAGATCCGGAGACCCATTTTTACTGGAAACGCGGCATTTTGCCTTAGTCCTCAGGGGTGACAACGAATCTGCGTTTTGTTTCATAATCGAGAATAAATGTAGATGTCTATGGGCCACAGCATCCAATTGCCATGAGGTAGACTGTGTACTCGCTTGTCATCTTTATTCTATAAAAAATAAGCTAGTCAACTTCTCATAAGATAGGTGTTTGGTAGTTTAACCATCAAACCTTGTATTAAGAGTGGTTATCGGATTATATCTTGACTAATTAAGAGAAACGTGTGCGCAGCAATGAACTATTTACAAGCTAATTTAATTTTTACACGTATCATTATGTAAGTAATTTATATAAATCTACATCTACATATCCGTGTTATCTCATTGGAATGCGCTGCGAGGCGGGTAGGGATTAACGCCTTGTGACGTTTCTCCGGCGAGAAAAATAAATAAGTTTAAAAAATTAAAGTGTGATCAAGTTAAACAAAGTTACCTCTGTAATAACTGTCTTGTGTCTTATCTTAATTATTTTTTTATGTAAACAAGGATAGTAGATAAGTTTAGATATATATTACAATTATATAATTATATATATTTGCTATTCTCATTATTGTTGAATTAATATTGCTATAAACATAATGGAGACACGCTGCAGGCCTGCAGGATATTATGAATACAGCTGGATTAGCTTCAAACACAGTCAGTACCACAGAAACCTAAATAATATTGCCTTATTATTTAGATTTCTGTGGTCAGTACGCAGTTCAGGTCCTTACCCGATGTCAATTAAAATTTATAATAAACTAGCTGTTCTCTCTGTTCTCTGTTCTCTTTGTTTAGATTTCATGGGTTTTGATTCTTTCGCACGGAACCCTAATCGTATTTCTAAAATAAAATTAGCCTAAGTTACTCCTTAATATATCAGCTATCTGCCAGTGAAAGTCACGTCAAAATCGGTCCGGTCGTTTCGGTGATTAGCTGGAACAAACAGACTGACAGATAGAGACACCGACAGATAGACAAAAATTAGAAATTGTTTTTTTTTTGTTATAAGTATCGTATATACTTTTATATGCATTTATTAAAAAGCTGTTATTTTGACATTACAAATAGACACTCCCATTTTATTTATTTGTATAGATTGCCAGAATACCTAAAGGCCGAAACAAATATTATTAAATTCAAAAGCTTTTTACAAATATACTTATTTAAATACTATTCAATTAATGAATACATTGAAGAAAAGAATGTTTGAGTGTCCGCTCCTTTCTTGTTCAATGATATGCCTTTCGAGGTACATGAGATTGTTAAATGAAATGATATGAAAATAATGATTTTTATTCAATATAGATTATTACATAACACTCGTAATTTATTAAGTCATCTTTTATTTACCACTGGTTTGGAAAAAACCTCTGTCCTGAGAAGAACCAGCAAGAAACCCAGTGGAACTTCGGACAGCAAATTTCGAGCGAGTGGTTAGTACTTGCGTGTTTTGTTTAGTCACTAAATCTCATGTAACGCAATTTTTGAATAAATAAATAAATAGGTCCGATCGACAGGTGACCACGCTCACAGAATATAACTTTATCGACGGACTTCAATATAAATCAAATTAGAACATCATCAATGTAGTAGAAATCAAATTAATA